TACACTGCTCTCACAGATGCATAAATATTTAGTTACAGCTTCATGAAACACATAATTCTGTCTAAAATCCATCACTGGCCCCCAGGAGTTATCACCAACTTGAGGCAAAGAAGCCCTGAGACAATGAAACCCACTTGAGTGCAGCCAGCAATGATAACATTTATGAATCCACTGTAGATGTGAATATTCAGAAGGGAGGTCTTGCAGACATTATTTGCAGACAGTTGATAAATCTGAATCCCTGTATGTTTCAAGACAGAAATCCCTGTACGTTTTCTTGTGCAGAGCCTGGCCAGGGTTTGTTCAGAGTATTACGGTAGGACACGGGCACTCCATTCATGACTTGGCTTCTTAAGTCTCAGAAGTGTGAGTAAGGACCACCCAAGGCACCTGTATCAGTGATGATGGAAATTCCTATCAGGCCATCATACCTGAGGGGAGAGAGTTGGAAGCAGGCCTTTTCTGAGTAGATGTTCCTTGATCTTCCCCGCCTGGGTTCTGGTTTGGAGGGTGCCCTAAGTGTTCATCTCTAGCCTTAAGAACCCTTTCATGCAAAACTGGACAAGTGACTATTATTTATGAGTGATAATTGCAAATAATGTTCATTGAGCACATGCTTGCCAGACACATTCCTGGGCACTTTATGCCCAGGTTGTATAGATGGAAGAATTACATCCATTTGGAGTTAATGGTAGCTGAACAAAGATGCCCCCAGAGCCTCCTGAATCAAAGCTCATCCTCTCCAAATGAGGCCATTCATGCACACTAAGCAATTGCCACGGCTGTAGATCTCTGCCTACGTTGTACACAGTGAGTGAGGTTCTAACACTGATGTCCTAGTCCTTGGCTACAGAACTGGGGGAGGATGGCCTCAACTCTTGTCTGGGTCATTATCTACTGACTCTTTTAGGAATCCCATGCTGGACTTGATACTTCTGCTTCAGGTTCAAATGCTGTGGTTGTCTGAGTGAGATGTCCCCATAATCTTGGTTCCCAGTTGCTGGTGTTTGCTGTGGAGTCTATGGAGGCATGGCCTTGTTAGAAGAAGTTATGTCAGTAGAAGCAAGCTTTGGGAGTTTGAAGACTCATGCCATTGTGAATTCATTTTTCTGCTTCATGCTTGCTGTTCAAGATGTTAACTTCCTCCTGCCACCATGCCTGGTTCTAACCCCCTGGGACCATAAACTCAAATAAGTTGTCTTGCTCATAGTATTTTATCACAGCTATGGAAATGTAGCTAATGCATTTAACCATCTGGCTATGTCCTTTTGGATCTAACTCATTTCTCAGGGAATGTGCCCACTCAAGCTTGCTCAGATGTCCAGACAGATCTTGTCGTGTAACTGCAGCTGGACTTAAATCAATGATCATCCTTTCCTAGCTGAGATAATATACATGTCTTGGGGTTTCACTTGAAAGTTCTGACCTCTCATGTGCCTTGAATGATCACTGGCCTGGAGTGGCCACACTCTACTTGCATGCTGTCTTATTAGCAATATAACACCTTGGATCATGACCTCTTTATATGCTATCTATGAAGTAGATAACTGGTGTACAGCATGTACAGCACAAGATTCATGGGACTCACTCAAATATCAATTAATATAATTTTATTCGGGGAGGAATCACTTGCCTGCCATACAGATGACTGCTGCAAGCCCATGCTCTGAGGATCCACACAGGCTGCCTTCTGTGACCCTATCAGGAGCCAGGGAGAGCATGCCTGTCCTGAACCCCAGACCAAATATTACAAGCTCACCTATGCACCTGTGACCATGTCCAAATGGGCGTACTCGGTGCTGTGGCTGGGTGAATCTCTCACTACATATCTAGTCTCCATTTTGTCTTTCTGGGATTTCTCTCTCTCTTTCTCTGTCTCTCTCTCACACTATCATGCTTATTTAATCATTCATTCATTTATTTATTGTGTGTGTGTGTGTGTTTGTGTGTAGATGAGCATGCTATCGTGTATGTGATGGTCAGAGGACAACTTGAAGGAGTTGGTTCTCTCCTTTTACCATGTAAATCTGGAGGCCACCATACTTGGTGGCAGGTACCTTTACCATCTCACGAGCCATGGGCCTCCTTTCTCTGGCCAGCTGTGCCTGTGATCTTAGGTTGTGGAAATCATAAAACCTACCTTCCTGTTCCTGTTTTCCCAGGAAGGGGACTTTTTTTTTGATGTCATTAGAACTAACCCACTCTTCCTGTACTGGGATCTTTTGTGTGTTTTCATTAAGTATTCTGTGTCATCATGCAAGCAGAGGAGGTGGTTAGTAGCACTATCCATTCATTCATGACACATTTATCAAGTTCCTATTTAAGATCCAGGCAATGTGCTGAGTGCTGGAGTTGCCATGGTGACCGAGATAGAACTTTCCCCTGCTTTCATAGGTTATTGCTTCGGAATGAATCACACAAAAGGAGGCACTTGCAATACAATTTGATAAAGATTCCGAGGCAATAGCAAGTATCTTGAGAATGCATCAAAGAAACCACCTACTCCATGTTTGAAGGGCTAAGATAGATTACCCGGAGGAAGTAACACTGAAGACATAAAGGGCTGGATGAAAGAAGGCAGATGAAGAGGTTGGTAGTCAGGGCATGAGAAGAAAGGGACAGATTGAGAAAGATTCGAGGCAGAGAAAGCAGCTCATCCACAATGAGTTCTGGACAGCAGAAGCAGAGTTGCAGTAGGGTGAGAACAGACATGATACTGTAGAGACTGTGTATGGGGTACAGGTATGAGGGTCACATAACCACCACCTGTCTGTTAGATTCCCTGTGTCTCACGAGCTAAGCTACTGCAGCTTGAATACACAATGGCAAAAGATGGGGCCAAGGAGTAGGGGCTGTAGAGTGTTCCCATAAAATAGGGATGGCTATTTTAGTCCTGGGCAGCCACCATCCATGCTATTACAAGGGCTCAAGCAGCCAAGTCTCTTCTTCCCCTAGGCAGAATCTCTGAGGCTCAAGACACTCTTTCCCAAGTGAGTACATTTACCCAGCGTTGTCTCTGCCTGATACGGGCACTATTTCCACTTGAAACAAAGCTTAAGCTTGCAGAGTCACCAGGGGCCTCAAAGGGTGCTGGTGGTTACTTCCACTGGTGCAAACAGAGGCACTGAAGCTTAGTGACAATCAGCCACTTGTCACAAGCCACCAAGCTGTGGTGGAATTGGTGCCTGCACTGATCCCAGAGTTACTGTAACAGCACAACATCATCTTCTCGGTCACCAGTGCAATCTTTTGGAGAACCCCGTGTACTGTTTTGTCATATTTCTCACTGGCATCCGTCCCACCTGAATGTTTCCTTAACATGCTCTCATGTATCTGAGGATGACCTTGACCTACCTAACCATCCTAGAATGGCCTTGAACTTCTGATCCCTGCTGCTACCACATCCCAAGTGCTCTGACTGCAGATGTGCTCCACCGACATACCCACGCTATGTGGTACCGAGAATGAAACCTAGGGCAGTCTAACAGCTGAGCTCCATCCCCCAGCACCTTATTGTTCCTTGTTTGGAAATGTTTCCCAAAGGTTAGATCCAAGATTTTGGGGGGTGCGTCTCTAAGACTCTCCCATCCTAGATAGGCAGGATTCAATGCAGACACGACACCCTGAACGTTTGTATGTCAAATGAACAAGAGCTTGCCCCTGCGGCTACATCTCCAAGATTTGAGATGGCCTCCCATTTGCCATGTTCAATAAGGAAACAAGAGCTGTTTTTGATGTTGGCTAGTACTTCCAAACTCTCAGAGGAACTGGTGGCTTCCCATGTAGTGATTGTTCAGTCAGTCCTCAGCATCCTAAATGAGAGCAGCAGAAGAGGTTCCTTCTTCCTAACCCAGGCTTGCACTGCATGCTGCTTACTATTTACTCTGATTTTTACCACTTTTATTACACTTTAATATTCAACATCTATACTCAACTCAACGCTACCGGGTTCTCTGACCCTTCACTCACTGCCGCCTCACCTCCCAAACACCAGCACCAAGTCCTGTGGATGCCAGCCACAGAAATGGACGACACTGTCTTAATCAATAAATCACCAGCCTTTCATTAAGTGTCTCTCCATTAGAGGCTTGGCTCTGCATTCCTGAATGTGTTCTGGACGATATCACCAATTACTCTTCTCCTTTCTGGCAGCAAATAGAAAAAGCAATTTTCAAATTGTTTCCATTATCACAGGGCATTTTCTCAGAAACATCACTTTTTAAAAAATGGATGGGGTGGGCATGGAATTATTTCCAGTTAACACAGTCATGGAATTTTCTAGAAGAAAGCTGATTTCCATAGGGGCCCCTGTAAGTTTAAAATCAACAGAGTTAGTATGTATACTGACTCCGCCTTTACTAACCATGTGAAGAGGGTGTTTTTATCCACCATTTGGAAGCTATCAGTACCTAGAGCTGTTACAAGGAGAGGTTGCATGTTGCATAGAGGGTGTAGCCTTTTCCTGCGAGGGCCTGTTATTATTTTTTAAAGACCGCTTTCAAGAAGGATTGGAGAGACAGACTCAGTGGTCAAGGGCAATGCTGCTCTTGCAGAGGAACTGACTTTAAATTCATAATTGCCTGTAACTCCAGCTCCAAGAACTCTGACAGCAGTGAATTCCATGGGCACCTGCGCTCACATTCACAAACTCTCTCTCTCTCTCTCTCTCTCTCTCTCTCTCTCTCTCTCTGTCTGTCTCTCTCTCTCTCTCTCTCTCTCTCTCTCTCTCACACACACACACAATTAAAACCAAGTAAATGTTTAAAATTGTTATCAAGAGAATCATGTACCCTGTGTCCTTGGGGCGATCTGATGTATTTTTGTTTCACAGGAGCTCCTTTTTCCTTACGAAAGGCCAGTGGATGTGATGGTGCTTACATAAGTGTTCTGGATCCAACCTCTTACAGCCGTCTGATAACACGAAAAACTAAAGAGGCTGCGGCTTGGGTGCTTAGCTTTGGTTAGCCTTCTGCAATCAGATAACTGTATTTTTATCACAGAATGACGAAGTGGAATTTGTCCGAACCGGCTATGGGAAGGATATGGTCCGGGTTCTCCATATTCAGAGGGATGGAAAGTACCACAGCATCAAGGAGGTGGCCACGTCGGTACAGTTAACTCTGAGATCCAAAAAGGATTATCTGCACGGTGATAATTCTGACATCATCCCTACAGACACCATCAAGAACACGGTGCACGTCCTGGCGAAGCTCAAAGGGGTATAGTCATTCTTAGACGCTTGCTGCTCCTTGGTGCAGATTCAGCGCAAGCTCGTGTGGGGGCGGTGCTAGCTATTATTTTAAGCTCTCATTTCCTTTCAACCTATTTTTACGTACATGCCATTTTTAAATTTTTCCTTTCTATCCTAAAATTCTCAGGCTTACAGGAAAACTTGTTTCATTTCATTCTGTTCATTTACCTCATTAGTTAGGGAGAAAAGCTCCTGGGCAAATTAGCTTGTTTCCTCACATTAGAACTGTGGGCAACTCAAGGCCATGGGAAGATCTCAGCCTAAATTTAACACATTTCTCGTGCTTTTCTTTGAAACCTATAACTTTTAGACTCTGCATTGTAGCAGAAAGGGCCATTGCTGTGCAGCAAATGAGAATATTTATTATACGATATCCTACTTATTGGCAAAATCTGCTGCCTGCAGTTCTGTGCCACATTTCAGTTTTCTGATGGCTGTAACAAAATGCCCCACACTCCAGGGTGTGGGTTAGCAGCTCAGGGAAGGGGCTTATTTTGGCTCATTGTTTGAGGGTATAGTGGTTCTCAGTTTTCACAATGCTGTGACCCTTTATTAAGTTCCTTATGCTGTGTGGATGCCAATCATAAAATTATTCTTGTTGCTACTTAAGAACTATAATTTTGGTACTGTTATGAATCATAATGTACATATGTGCATTTTCCAATGGTCTTATGCGACCCCAGAGGGGTTTCAGGCCACAGGTTGAGAACCCCTGGTGTAGTGCATCACTGTGGAGAGGTCTTGGCTACAGGTGTGTAGGCAGTTAGTCATCCCCTTTCTGTGGTCAGGAAGCTGGGAGGTGCATGCTGGTGTTCGGCTTGCTTTTACCTTTTCATTCATTCTGAAGGGATGGGCACACTCACATTCAGGTGGTCTTCCCCTTACGGAAATGCTCACACAGACACACCCAAGACTGACTTCCTGTGGGAACACTGGAGTTCATTTGTAAACCTCATGAAAAGCCTCAGTATTGCAGGCACATAGAGAAAACATTCCGGACACTACTTTTTGTTTATCTACCTCTTTTCCTGCAAAGCAAGTTTATTTATTTCTTTATTTTAACACAGGATAGTGTTGGAGAGGTGGCTCAGTGGTCAAGAGACTGGCTGCTCTTCCAGACAACACTGGCTCCACCCCCATCATGGCTCACAAAGCATCTGTAATGCCAGTTCCAGGGGATCTAACACCCTCTTTCAGTTTCCATGGCAGCAGACATGAACATGGTACACAGACATGCATGCAGGCGAGGCACCCACACATATAAAATAAAAATAACAAAAAGGATTTACAAATAGAAGATAACTACAGAGACCCACACCCAGGAAGAGTGAAGGAAAATCGGGACTGGGCTGTTTCATCTCCTGAGATTCTCAGCCTGTGTTTCTCTTATTGGAAGAAACAACTCCTCAGGAAGGAGCCCCTGGGAGCATTTAGCAATTAGTTTTGGCTGGGTTGGCAGTAGATGCCTGGGATCCCAGCTCTGCCATGAGCTTGATGTTTTCCTGGGCTACATATAAAGGTTTATAATCTCAGAATGAGGTGTAGACAGAAAGGTTGTGAGTTCAAGATCAGACCGAGCTGTGTAGTCAGTGAGCCACTACTTCAAATAAACAAAACAACCAGATCAGCCCAAGCCTTTAAATGAGACCTTTTTGATTGCCAGTCTTCCTTTCTTTCTCTTTTACAGATAAAGAACATAGAGACCTTTGCCATGAACATCTGCGAGCACTTCCTTTCTTCTTTTAACCATGTCACCCGAGCCCATGTCTACGTGGAAGAGGTTCCCTGGAAGCGCTTGGAAAAGGTCTCATCATTTATGTTCTCAGTTTAACGAAAGAAATTGCTGGTGTGGTTTGTGCTGGAATGTGACTGGACACAACTTTGTCCTCCCTTTCAGAATGGAGTCAAGCATGTACATGCGTTCATTCACACCCCCACGGGAACACACTTTTGTGAGGTGGAGCAGATGAGGAGCGGTAAGGTGTCTTTTGTCGATGTCTTTGCTTTTCTGGCCCACAGCAATGCTTTTTATTAACACAGAGGAAAACTGTAGTGAATTTGTAAGCCTTTAAATCTGAGACTGGATTGAGCATTGAGCCTTTGGATTTTACATTACAAGGTTACCTTTTGCTGAAAGGTAGCAAAGGAAGTGATTCTTTTTATTACAAAATCTGCAGTTTGAGTGGTGAAAGTTTTCTGTTACCCAGTTTTGAAGTGAGACAGGACAAGAAAAAGCAAAGGCTGGAGGTGACAGGAATGAAAATCTCCAATTTTTTGCTGGCCAATATTTTTGGTCCAGTATCATGAGATAATGATAGTAACCGATATTTGAAATTACTAATGTTTCCCTGACATTTTACTTGCATAATAAAATACTAATAGTACTATAATCTCTTTAAAACCAGTCTCATTTAAAATAGCAATGACTATTACATAACTATATTTAGCAAGAAATTTAAAATGTAAATCTAACTATGAAACATTACTATAATGTAGACCTTATTAGTACCAAAAATTAATCTGAGCAAAGAAAATTCCCAAAGCTTGTGTTCCATTGATTTGTTGAATCGTCTGAAGCAGAATTAAATAATCCATTCAGATTATTGAATCTCTTTGAAGTAGAGAGCGTTGACGCACAATGACAAAGATGGCAGAAACTCAGCTATCTCAGTAAGAGGCTATCATGGTCATTGTGAACTCAGTGTTGACTTTGAACTTTTCCTGTTTCTATTTCATTTCTTCCTTCTTTATCCCTTAATGGTTCTAACTAGTTGAATTAAGGCTCTATAGTGCTAAGTCTGCCTCAATGTTTTGATAGCATGTCTAAAGTTATTTATAGAAAACGGATTGAAAAGTTGCTGTATTAAGCTGAAGAGATGATTGGGTCACCACATTCTTAGTGGTGTGGTAGAACTCCCTAGCTGAACTATTATCTAAAACACTCAGCCTTGCTCTCCATCTTGTCTCCCTTCCCTGCCTTCTCTGTCTCCTCAGTCTGGGTATTTCTCCCTTTCTTTCTTTACATGTGATTTTAAAGGCAAAAAAGAGAAACACATCCTAACTCAGGGCTGACATTATCTTCCTAAGCCGCAGTGACTACTGTCATGAAATCAGAAAAGTGTAAGCCGGTTCTGCTTAACTTTGTATATAGTTTTAAAGATTTTTAGTAGTCACTTTAGGAAATCAAAAAGGAATGAAGAAAACTATTTTTAATAATAGTTTAGCTTAATACAAAATGTTACTTATGAAATAAATACTAATTAAGTAAATGTCACTCTTGGAAATAAATCAAGTCTCCAAAGTCATGTGGACATTCTGTCAAGTAGAGCTTGAGTCACTTTAGCTAGATTCCGGGTGTTGACTGACAACAGGTGACTGGAGTCCACTGTATTGATCAGCATAGCTCTTACCTGGTTTTAGAGACTTTGGGAACTTAGCACACTTTTTATCCCAGTCTTTATCTTAGATTCAGAGACTAGAAACAACCCGAAGTAGACTTGAATAGAGCCTGATTAAAGCTAAATTCACTTATGGAAATCATCCGCTCAAAAGTGCTGGGGGTCATTCATCCATGCACTGTCTACTAAGCAAGTGGACCTTGAAGACTTGTTACATGCACAGAAGGTGGTGAGGAGATGCTCGGGACTTTCCCTGATGTCAGAGAATCTGCAGTAGATTTCACTATTAGAGATACATACACTTGTGAACAAATTCATTGCAACATGAAAGGCTAAAAACCACAGGTCATCCTACTGGAATGGAGATATTCCAAAACTCAACTCTTCTCAAAGCAATGCAGAAGGCTTTGGCAGAAGAGATGAAATGTTTCCATTGACTTTGCAGGATTATTTGCACTAGGCTGGTCATGAAAGAAGACGGGTCCACATGGAGAAACAGTGAGACTTGGAGGCACAGGGTGCAGAAAGGAGTGGAAGATGTGGATCATGGTGTCCTGAGCCCATGATGAGCCTACATTGGATAGATACTCATTTAACTGTTGAAGAGGCAAAACATTTGTAGAACAGGACTAAGGTCAATGAGTCTGATTTCTTGGGGGCCTCCGAGGGGCCTCCTGAGCTGAACTAGCTTGTATAGTCTAACTTAAAGGCAATTTGCATAGTAATCCACAGAACACATTGTAATTCTGTCAGGAATTACAGAGAGGGCTAGGATCACAATAAGCTGTGTTTGAATTTGAGCTTCACTAGTTAATAGCATGAGTATGAGCATGTGTGTGACAGTTCCTCGGTGGGTTTTCATTTGCAGTGTGAGGATTCTGAGGCCCACTTCTACAGTTAACCAGAGAAATAAAGGAGATGATTACATTTATTTTATTAAAGCTATAGGCATAGTACCTGGCATATAGGAAGTTCTTACATAGTAGCCATAATTATTATTTAGTTTGATGACAGAAAAGCAGAGATCTCTATCAATCAAGTGAGTGAATAAGCTTGTGTGTGTGTGTGTGTGTGTGCGCGTGAGCACGCGTGTGCTTGTATACATGTAAATGTCTATGGTCTTCATCAAACATTCATTTTGAATGCTTGTTTCCCAGCAGCTGGGGCTATTTTGGGAGCCCAGAGCACATTTAAGAGGTGGGACCTAGCTGGCAGGCAGAAGAATGACCTGATCTTTGATTCCTGGTCAGCTGCCATGCACACAGCTTCTGCCACACGCTCCCTCTGTTCTACTATGCTCTCCCTCTTATCGAGGGCTGAAATCCAGTGAAACACTGAGCCCAAATAAAGCTATTGTAGATTCACCTTGTTTGGCAGTTTTGATCAGAGTGTGGTGAGCAGGCTAGAAAGGCAAATGGTACTGAGATGCCTGAGGATTTGTTGCAGAGATGGAGGAGGCGGGAAGGCAGAGGAGAAGCACAGGTTGGTACTTGTTGTTTGAGCTTACTTTGTGAGGCTCTGATGCAATGTAACTGGTGCACCAGAGGTTGGAAGGAAGGAGTTACAAAAGTTGGGATTAAACTAGAAGGCCTGGGACCAGAGAGAATACACACATGAGTGAAGTTGGGAGGATAAAGATGGTGAGTTTTAGAATGTGGAATGGAGATAGATTGAGGATCATCAATGTGAATGTTGCCCCAGGGAAGGAAGTAATCCCAGAAAACAGAAATAATGTATAACGCATGTTGGCCAGATTCTATAAAGGAACAAGCCTGGTAGAATAAACATGTACATATCGAAGGGTGATTAGTAGGTTGGCTTACAGGATGTGGTCCAGGTAGTCCAGCAATTGCCGTCTCACACTGAAGAGCCCAAGAATCCTGTAGTTGGTTGCCTCATCTGTAAGACTGGATGTCTCAGCTGTGAAGGCCCGGAGGGTTCCTGGAGAGCCACTGGTCTTCAGTCTGTGTTGGACACCTCAAGAACCTCGTTCTAATACCGGTGAAAGGGTGGGGCCTCAGTTCACGGTATAGATGCACTTGCCAGCAAGAGTGAAGGCAAGCAAGCAAAAAGCAAAGTTTCCTTCTTCCATGTCCTTTTATCTGGGTCGCCACTAGTACGTGCTGCCCACATTTAGGGTGGGTCTTCCTGCGTCAAACAATCTGATCAAGACAGTTCCTGACAGGAGTGCCTGGTGGCTGGTGCTTTCCTTGTTTTCAGAGGCAGTCCAGTTGACAAGCAAGACTAGCCACCATGTAAAGTGAGAACAGGGGACGTAAGGGGGCCCAGGGAAGATTCCCTAGTTTGAGACTTCGGCAGAAGGCTGGTCGGAGAGACGGAAGATGGAGGTGAAAGAGTGTGGTGTCTGGAGAAAGTGTGTCACAGAAGGAGAAGAAAACTACGCTTTCATTCAGGATGGTTGCAGGGGCAGCAGGACGTGCTTCTACGAGACCCATATGCAATGGCCTAGAACTCAGGCTTCTTCCTACAAGCCCAGTCTGTTGTCGGGGTAGACATGATTCAGCTCAGCAGCATGGAAGTTAGATGGAATCCTAGGCAACCTTACCTTCCTATTTTGAGGGTTCATCTTGATGATAAATTGCCATGTCAGATAAGTGGAGATGTAAAGACATAAGTACCAGGTCATTAATGACCCATAGTACTTCCCCTGGCAAGACTCATACGGTCACATTCCAATGAGGAAGATCACAAAAAATATGGTCTCACTGAGTGTCCAAGCAGAAGATGAAATTGATTTGATATCTGCTACAGGAAGGTTAAGAAATCCAGGTTAAAAGATGGCTGAAGAGGAACTCAGGAGATGGTAAACATCCCTGGTGATTTCTACAAAGATTCTTTCAGACAGGGAAGTGGATGCGGAAGTTACCGGTGGCCAAGTCCAAGGCACTGCTGCTGATCAAAGACAACAGTTCTCTTCCCACTGGTGTGCCAGGAGTTAGTATCTGCCTGACTTCTGATCACAAGGCTGCCGCTGCCTAAGTTCTAATCACAGAGCTCGCTGGAGCTGCACAGTAGAAAGGGCAGCCTCAGAAGCACTTCAGGTCCTTTGCTTTTGCAGACGGATACAAGGCTCCTGGGAACAGACAGCCCTGTGGCAGTTTGCCCAGAAGTTCCAATCCACTCATTTGGAGCTCATGCTGCTCTGATAACCTGCAGGCCTGGCAGGACTGGGGTAAGAGGACAGTTGTGCAGTGAGTGGGTTCCAGCCCTGCGTGCACTGAACGCAACTGTGTGCATACACACACGTGAAACCATCTGTATCTTTCTTTCGAGAGTAGGGGTGTGTGTGTGTGTGTGTGTGTGTGTGTGTGTGTGTGTGTGTGTGTGTTTTGTGGGGCAAAGTCCAGTTCCCAATTTGCTTATTATCTAAGAATTAGAATGGAAGAAATTGTGATGTGAAGTCATGTTATAATCATCATAAGCAATGCCCATGGACAGATGGCTCAGAGGCTAAGAACTCTCACTGTGAAGGCATGAAGACTTGGGTTTGAATCAGTAGTACACAGTGCATGGATGCTTGTGCATGGGAACTCAGGACATGGAGGGTAAGACATTCT